TGGGGCGTGTGTGGACGGGATATGGGGGGGATGTCGTACGGCAACACAGTCGTAGGGCCCGATTACTGCATCCCGGACCCAGGCCGGATATGCACCAGTCGCACACATCCCCCCCGTGTCCCGTCCATTCACGCTCCCACCTTGCATGATGTGCTCCAGTATGAACCAGCACCATGACCGCCGCCGCCGTATACGCCCACAAACCAGCGTGACAACGATATGCAAGGCACATAAATAGGGGCAGAGTGCAATCATTCCTAATAGATCTGGTAGTCCTTGCCAATCCGCTGCGAGCCCCCCCCCATCCATTTACCTGCACGGCAAGAAACCATCCGTACGAGCAACAGCACGTGGATGACGTCGTCGGTCGCCTCCACCGCCTAGGAAATGACGGAAAAGGGGAAACACACAGTGCCTCAGACGAGGATGTGCATGTCGTACTGGTACGTGTCCTGCGGCCAAGTAACGGGCAGCATGACAGGTGGCCTACTTGCCAATACGCCATGAACGCGAACCCGTCCGCTCCCTCCTCACCTGAACGGATAGAAAACCACCGGGCGACCATACGGATGTGCGACTATCAGACCGCATGTTGTAGTCGTGTTCTCCGTTTCCACTTCATGCCAGCAGCGGCGATGCGTGCACACTCCTCCACCAGCCGCCGGATCAGCCGCCTCGTCCAGTAGTAGTGGTGGCCAGGGTACAACTCACAAGAAGATTGTCATACAGGCACACACCACACCACAACACATATACACACACACATACACACACACACACACGTACACACACATCACACTCAGAGCAATCGTGTGGCTGACGGCCAGCAGCGCTGGTCTTGACATAATTCTAGATTTGGGCACCTTTCGTTCGCTGCGCTGCGCTGCACTGCTATTTCTGCTTCTACTGCTGCTGCAAGCCGCTAGCCAAGCACGATTGCCTGCACGATTGATCCCGCGCGGCACGGCACTGTAGCCCCATGCCTAACCGTTATGCACAAGCAGCAATGTTGCGGGAGGTGTGCGGAAATCCAAGCAGGTTCCTGAGCCTTATGAGGAGGCCGTGTTGGGTCGGGAGGCCGTGTACTGGCAGCAGGCTATGAAAGACGAGATCGCATCTCTCCATGCAAACCATACCTGGGGCCTTGCCATTCCACCGCCTGATGTGTGTCCCATCCCTGTAAAGTGGGTCTATGCAGTGAAGCGTAACGTTATTGAGCGGTTCAAGGCACGACTGGTTACCAAGGGATTTGGGCAGAAGCCAGACATCGATTTTGATGAGGTGTTTGCTCCCACATGCAACCAATTTACCATCCACTCGTTCCTAGCCATGGCCGCTGTGAAGGGTTGTCATGTGCAGCACATGGATGTACGCACGGCATTCTTGAATGATGAATTGGAGGAAGTGTTGGACTGCGACCAACCGCTTAGCTATGAGATGAGTGGTGCAGGTATGAAGTGCAAGCTTAATCGGGCATTGTACGGTCTGCGACAAGCTGGCAGAGCTTGGCACATGAAGCTACGGGGGGCCCTCGAGCAGTCGGGGTTTCAGGCCTCAGAATCTGATCCGGCATTCTTTGTTGTACACAGTGAGTCGTACACCATGTGGCTGCTTGCCCACGTGGACGACTTGCTGATTGCGGTAGCAACAAGGTTGGGGTTGCATGGATGAAGGAAAGGCTGGTGAAGAATTCGATATGCGTGACCTGGGGGAGGTATCTCTCTTCCTCTTCCTGGGTATTTTGAGGTGGGTGCGTGATTGGGTCAGGGGTGAGCTGGAGCTAACGCCGCGGCACTATGCGGCGGAGCTGGTCCAGCGGTTTGGATTGTCTGATGCCAAGGAGGTGGTGGTTCCCCTGAGCCCAACGGTCGATCTGAGGGCAGCTAAGGCGGATGAGCCTGTGCTGGATGATGCAACGCGCTTTTGTGAGTCCATGGGTGGTCTGATGTACTTGGCTACCAGCACCCGTCCTGATATCGCCCAGGCTGTGTACAAGCTGGCGCGATACATGTTGGCACCCACTCAGCAGCACTGCGAGGCAGCAAAAGGTGTTCTGCGATATGTGAAAGGCACGGTGGAGTACGGACTGTCGTACAAGCGCGGAGGTGTTAAGGTGGAAGGCTTTTCTGGTGCTGGTTGGGCAACGGACCGGGATAACCGCCATCCTACCAAGGGGTTTTGTGTTCCTAATGAATGGTGCGGTGGTTGACTGGAAGAGCCGCCTGCAGCCACCTGTGACTGCATCGTTCGTTGAGGCCGAGTATATCCCTGCAGCATTTTCTACATGAGAGGCGCTGCGGTTGCGCAAGCTGATGTGCGATTTGGATCTTGAGCAGGATTGCATGCTCATCTGGGATGACAACCAGGGTGCGCTCAGCCTGATCAAGAATCATGTTACCACGGAGAGGCGGTCGAAGCACATCGACGTGGTACATCACTTTGTTCATGAGTGAGCTGAGCGGGGTGAGGTTCGGTTCGAGTCTTGCCCCACTGAAAGTATGGTGGCAGATGTGCGGACGAAGCCATTGCCTGAGAGCAAGTTCGTATAAACTTGCAATGGATGTGAGGTGATGAGTGACGGACGATGATGGTGTTCCGTCCAAGGGGGAGTACAGTCGGAGAGGTACAGTCGGAACATTGGTGAAAGATGTTAAGTGTTCGTTATGGATGATCTGTGGTAGATGCATCGTACGAAACAAGTACTACAATCTATTCTGCTAGTTAAGTAGATCCAGTCAGCAGAGCGAGGGTTGGGACCACGTATGATGTGTGGGACAGGGGGGTCATATCTTCACCCTGCCGCCACCACCCGGCAGACCCTGCCTTCCCCGATATTTCGGGACACCCTCATCCAGTCACCCAAGTCAATTTTTCAGTGATCGCTCAGGTTCCGCACCCACCACTGGCATCTAATACGGGCTTTGGGAATGGCGCTCCGTCATACCGCTTTGCGCGAACACTTTCAACTCCGCCTCGTCAGTATATCACGGTTTCCCAGCTGAACGCATTCCGCTTGTGCTCAGTCGTCGTGTGTGCCGTCGACAGTGCCGTGCTTCGTTACTACAAATAAGGCGGCAGCGGTATAGGCCTACATTCACTTGCGTACTCGCACGCTCACCGCGGATGGCGGACCTGAATCGAAAACCCATCATGGAAGTCAGACAGTGCCATAGGTGCGCGTGCGTGCATCATATTACATGTCTACATTCGAAGACGAGACCGGAGAACTGGACTGGGGGGTAACTGCATGCGGACCACATTAGGATTAGGATTGCGCAAACAGGCACACAGATGCCAGGAACATCCCACATCCAATATGGGATGTGTACCGAAAAGCTGTTTGCACTCGTCTCGGCCTGCCCATTGTCTCGGCACACCAGAATACCGTAGTGCCAATAAAAAATGGTGACACACAATGGGGATGCCGTCAACAATGTTGTAGCAGGTGTAATTGCTTTACAATTTTTTAAATGAAGAATGATATATTGACGTGCGCTGAAAAATGCTGGGATCCGCTGGCCAGCCAGGCAAGCGTCCAAAGATGTGGGGGAATGAAAGGGGAAGAAGAGGAAGGGAGAAAGGGGGAAGCAAG